AAGTGTCTATGACTGTTACGGTATTTTTAAAAAAGATTTTATTTATTCATTTGAGAGAAAGAGACTAGGGAAGCAGGAGTGGGAGAGAAGCAGACTACCCACTGAGCCGGGAGCCTGATGTGGGGCTCCATCCCAAGACCTTGGGATCATGACCTGAGCGGAAAGCAGACGCTTAACTGACTGAGCCACCCAGGCACCCAGAAGTTTTGAATTTTAATGAAGTCCAGCTTTATCACTTATTTCTGTAATGAATTGTGCCTTTGGTTTTGTATTGAAAAAGTTAGCATCATACCCAAAGTTATCTAAGTTTTCTCCTATGTTATCTTCTAGGAATTTTATAGTGTTTTTTTGCTGTACATTTAGGTCTGTGATCCACTTTGAGTTCATTTTTGTGAAGGGAATAAAGGCTATGTCTAGATTCTTCTTTTTTTTTTTTGTATGTGGATGTCCAGTTGTTCCAGCATATTTGTTGAAAATATTATTTGTGCTCCATTGCATTGCTTTTGTTACATTGTCAAAGATCAGTTGAGTTTGTGGGTCTATTTCTGAGCTCACTATTCTGTTCCATTAATCTTTTAATCCTTTAGCCAGTAACACACTGTCTTCATCACTGTAGCTTTACAGTAATCTTGAAGTTGGGTAGTGTCAGTCTTCAACTTTGTTCTTCTTCTTCAATATTGAATTAGTTAGCTATTTTGGCTTTTTTGCCTGTCCATACAAACTTTAGAATCAGTTTGTCTAAGGGACGCCTGGGTGGCTCAGTTGGTTAAGCAGCTGCCTTCGGCTCAGGTCATGATCCCAGGATCCTGGGATTGATCCCACATCGGGCTCCCTGCTCAGCGGGGAGCCTGCTTCCCCCTCTGCCTGCCACTCCTCCTGCTTGTGCTCTTTCTCTCTCTCTCTCTCACAAATAAATAAATAAAATCTTAAAAAAAAAAAGAATCAGTTTGTCAATATCCACAAAATAATTTGCTGGGATTTTTAAGATTGTGTTGAATATATAGGTAAATTTGAGGAAAACTGACATCTAGATAATATTGAGTCTTCCTGTTCATGAACATGGTACATCCATTTATTTAGTTCTTCTTTGATATCTTTAATCAGAATTTTGTAATTTTCCCCATATATATCTTGTATATGTTTTGTTAGATTGATACCTAAGTATTTCATTTTAAGGGTACTAAAATGTAAATGGTAATATTTTTAATTTCCAATTCTATTTGTTCATTGCCGGTGTGATACAGTGATTTATAAGAAATGTTATATTGTTATATATTATATCATTTCTTAGATATATTGGTCTTCATCCATAATTCCTGAAAATGCTTCAGAGCTATAAAGGTAAAATGAGTGTCTTGTTATTAATGAAGGTGATTTTTCCTTTCCAAACCCACCCCAGGTTCAGAGGCAAGTTGCCAGGAGGAGCAATCACGTGATAAAGGATTAGAACTTTCAGTCCCTATTCCCAATGCCCTACCTCCAGGGAAGGAGAGAAGCTGGAGGTTGCATCATCCAGTGGCCCGTGACTTAGGCAATCATGACCTTGTAATAAAGCCTTCATAAAGACCCAAGAGGACAGTCTTTTGGTCCTTTTGGAGAGATTTCACACTTGGAGAACCAGAATGTTTCCATGTGCCACCAAGCCAGGCCCTAAGCTCCATGGGAACAGAAGGACCTCACTGAGTGATGTAAGAATTCTGGAGATGGATAGTCTTGACAGTTGCACTACAATTTGAATGTACTTAACTGCCACTGAACTGTACAGTTAAAATGGTTAAAATGGTAAATTTTTCATTACGTATATTTTATAATAAAAAATGTTAAAATAATAATTACTCAAAGATGACTTTCTAAAACGTGTTTTTCTTTTTTTTTTTAAGATTCTATTTATTTGACAGAGAGAGACACAGTGAGAGAGAGAGCACAAGCAGAGGGAGTGGGAGAGGGAGAAGCAGACTTCCCAATGAGCAGGGAGCCGGATATGGGACTCGATGCCAGGACCCTGGGACCATGACCTGAGCCAAAGGCAGACGCTTAACAACTGAGCCACCCAGGTGCCTCTACATACATGTTCTTTTTCAAAATTTTATTTATTTATTTTAAATAATTTTAAAAATATTTTATTTATTTATTTGACAGAGAGAGACACAGCAAGAGAGGGAACACAAGCTGGGAGAGGGAGAAGCAGGCTTCCCACGGAGCAGGGAGCCTGATGCGGGGCTCAATCCCAGGACCCTTAATCATGACCTGAGCCGAAGGCAGATGCCTAATGACTGAGCCACCCAGGCACCCCAAAGATTTTATTTATTTTATTTTATTTTATTTTTTTAAGATTTTTTATTTATTTATTTGACAGAGAGAGACATAGTGAGAGAAGGAACACAAGCAGGGGGAGTGGGAGAGGGAGAAGCAGGCTTCCCTGTGGAGCAGGGAGCCCGATGTGAGGCTCGATCCCAGGACCCTGGGATCACGACCTGAGCTGAAGGCAGACGCTTAACGACTGAGCCACCCAGGCGCCCCGAGATTTGATTTATTTTAGAGAGAGAGAGTAGGTGAGGGACAGAGGGAGAGGGAGAGAGAATCTTGAGCAGACTCCTCTCTGAGCATGGAATGTGACAGGTGGCTGGATCTCATGATCCTGAGATCATGACCTGAGCCAAAACCAAAGGTTAGACACTCAAATGACTGAGCCACCCAGATGCCTTTCACATTCTATTTTATAATTGTATATACTGATTCCTTCTTTTTTTTTTTTTAAGATTTTATTTATTTATTTGAGAGAGAATGAGAGATAGCACAAGAGGGAGGAGGGTCAGAGGGAGAAGCAGACACCCCGCTGAGCAGGGAGCCCGATGTGGGACTCGATCCCGGGACTCCAGGATCATGACCCGAGCCGAAGGCAGTCGCTTAACCAACTGAGCCACCCAGGAGCCCTGATTCCTTCTTTTTTAATATCAGTTCAGAAATCCTGCAGATTTAGAGGTGACTCCTGTTGTGAGAAACACTGTGACCTGGTCTACAGAAACCACAATAGTACAGTGGAATGTTATATCAGAATCACCTGGAAAATTGTTAAAACACAGATTCTAGGCCTTGACCACAGAATCTGTTTCACTAGGCTAGTTTCTGAAATGAGAATGAGCATTTCTAACAAATCACCAGGTGACATGAATGGTAAAGGTCTAGGAATCAAATTTGAAAACCAGGATTCGATGAAAAATGAGGCTGCCTAGTTCCAGGCCTTTTAGTCCACCACAGTGAAAAATTGCAGACTCCTAGGGGCAGAGCCAAAGTTTCTCACATGCATCCCCTGAGTGTCTCTGCAGTGAGCAAGTCAGGCTAATGGCCAACCTGGCTGGAGTCCTCAGTTGCTTAGGAGCCCTGTGAGGGCTCCACCTACCAAAGCTATCTAGCCACCTGCACATTTTGCCTAGAACTTATTCCAAAAATACTCAGTAGTTATCCCTCATATCCTTCAAGTTTTTGCTCAATGACCCTATTAGCAAAGAACCCTCCCTCTTCTAAGCACATTCACCTTACGTTCTTCCATTGTGCCTAGCACATTCCAAGATGCTGTATGATTTAGGATTTCTTCTTTCATGATTTCTGTGACTTCCTTGTATATAATATAGCCCCCAGGAGGGCAGGAGTCTTTTGTCCCTTTGTGTGCAGATGTCTCCTATGCATCTATAATAAGTTCTTGAAGCCAAACACTCATTGATTATTTGTTAGAACAGTGAATAAACAAGACACTTTAGCTTCCCTTTATATTTTTACAATTCTACCTATTCCTAATGTCCCTGTTAGCATTCCCTGAATGCTGGTATCACTTAATTTCAAGAATGAATAAGAATCAAATTTGGGAGACAAAGTCTTCAGAATGATTGTTTTAGTCACATGCTCAGCTTAACTATCTTTTCTCAGACATCACTGATACAATTTCTCTTAAGATCTTCACATTTTTACCATCCACTGGCATTTCCACTAAGACATTTCTGACACAATCTCTAATAGCTGTGTAATTTGCATTTTACAGCTGTTTTTTTTCTCAGATAATGCCAATTCCTCATGCAGAATACTCCCTGTAATCACAGGGGAAATGATAACCACTATCCAGTAATGAGATGAGATCATAGATTTAAGTTACCCTCTGCATTTTGGAAACCAGAGCACCCTTTTCATACATGCTAACACCTGTAAACACCGAAGCCACTGTCCAGTGTCAAAATAGCGCGTCTCTCACAGTTATGTTGTTGAGATTGATGTCAGGTTTCCAAAAGGAAGTGACTATCAGGCGATCCGAAAAGAGATAGTAAATAGATAAACGTGTTGCTGAGTTGAACACAGTAATTTACCATACAGTCCAGGGAGATGCTTTCTGTGGTCATTACAGAGTTCACCTTTGTATTCCTGCCTCAGAGTAGTCCAACAATCCCCTACAAGATTTCCTGTCATGCCCCAATCTGTTCATTCTCTCGTCCCTGATGAAACATAGAGCGACTGATAAAACCAACTCTAACACTTCATAGAGTATGGATTTGAGATGCAACGCGACGTGTTAGCTTCTGCTACCAGTGGACACATTTGGAGCCTGCATGGCTACGGATGGTAAGTGTATTTGGATCTGTAGCCTTAGCCTCTGGGAGCAAAGCTGAACTTCACGGAGTCCGAAGTAACACGTCCCCACACGATTGGGTGAATGGCTACAGGCGACACCCAACACCACCCCCAAAACTTGAGTTCTCTTCGTTAAGAAGGGACAAAGACCCTTTTAATCTCTCGGACTCGTGGACACCATCTCCCGGCGCAGCTTGCGGGTCTAAAACTGCGGGTCGGCTGCCGAGCGCCCTCAGCCGCGCCATCGGAATCCACGCGAACTACATTAACCTGTAGGCTCCGCGCCTAACGGCCGCCGCGCTGAACCAATTACGGTTCAGAACAGGGGCCTTCCGTGTGTGACACAGAACGCGGGGCGGGACTTCCGGCGTCCTCCTCCGGGCGGTCATTTTGGCTTCTCCCCTGTGTTCATCCGGGCAGAAGTTCCGGAGCGCAGGGTGTGCGCGAGGAGACTTGCGGGAGAAGGACTCAGAGGAGCCGTTGACCCGGCCCTACAGGGGCGGGTCTGAAGCTAGGCGACGCCGCCCGGGGTGCCCCGCAGCGGGGCGGGTGCAAGAACCGCCTGCCCGCTCCCGGCCCCGCTCCGCCCACAGGCCCGGATGGCGGCAGCCACGCTGAGGGACCCGGCTCAGGTAAATACTGCGTTTTGCGCCCCTCCCCGCCGCCCGGATCCTAAAGCTCCGGGTGCGGGGCGCCTGCTCACGCGCTCACATCCCAGCTCTTCCTGCCTAGGAGAACGAGGCACTGGTAGGTGGGGTCCCATTTCTGACAATGGCCCTGAATACACGACCTCTCCGCCTCCCTGGGCAGTTTCACCGACGCGACTCGGTGTGGGGAGTGTTACAGGCGGAGGAAGCGGCCTGTGCGAAGGCGCGGAGGTGCCCCTGAGCTGGGAGTGTGCGGGGAAGCTGGGGGCTGTTGTGCCTGCGGGGAGCGGCGTGGGAGGCGGAGTCGCGGCTGGAAGAGCAGGCCGAGGCTCTGGCCTCTGCCTTCTCAGGACGCTGGAAGCTGTGGATAATTTTAAACAGAGGAGCGACACGAATGACGTTAGGGTTTTAAAAGCTTTCCAAAGGTGGTGGTTGGAAAAACAGGCTAATGGAGGGTGATGGAGACATTGAGGCATTAGGACGTGGAATCCTCGAGGACACAGGGCTGGTAAGACGAAACACTGAGGCATGAAAGGTAGACCTCCAGTGATCAGTTCGCCTGGCTCACCGGCCAGGCAGAGGTACACGGAGGAGTCTCAGCCCACTGAAACCCTACAGCGTGTTCATCTGTGACCTGCCCCTTAAAACGTGGCTACAAAACCCCAAAACAAAACATGGCGACAGACGCTTACGGAACCCACACAGGTATGTGTAGGGTGTCTTAGTCCCTCACTGGCTCCTGCTGCCACTCATTTTCTCCATTGTAGTGTCCCGGGACTCTGCATGCCAGTCTTCCAGACCTTGGGTCTAGGGACCCTGGGGAAACCCCTAGCCTTCGCCCTGGGTCCGTAGGAGGAATTATACGGAGGTATTTCCATTTTTGGCCCCTGATGTAAACAGGTGTGAGAAGGTTATCTCAATACAGGGATGTAAAAATGTTTGGAGAGGTAAGCTGGGAGCATTAAGGAAACCGTAGATTCCCTTTCCTTCAGGTGGGAGCAGTAAGAAGGGATTCAGGACTGGAATGGCTGCCCGAGAAGTTGGTTATCTGTCCTGGAGGTGGTGGGAACTTTGGATTAGAGGAGGGAGATGATCTTAGCCAGCTCTCCACAGGCTTCACCTGGCTGCACTGTGGAGAACAGATTGTGAGGATAAGGGAAGAGGAAGGTAAAGTAGGGTGGAGTCCACTGTAGTGGGCCAGTTGAGGGTTCATGGGACAGAGTGGTGGCTTAGAAGTGGCTGGATTCTGGATCTATTTTTATTAAGAGTCAGCTAGATTTCCTAATGTGCAGGGGAAGTCACATGATTGGTCTGCTTGTATCACTAAGCTATATTAGAAAATACCACAAACTCGGTGATTTATAAATCACAGAAATTTATTTCTCACGGTTCTGGAAGCGAGAAGTCCGAGATCAGGATGCCTGCATGGTCAGATTCTGTGTGTAGTAAGGGCCTCCTTCCTCATTTCCACCCAAAGGCCCCAGCTCCTAATACCATCAGTTTGTGGGGGGTGGAGTGTCAAAATACGAATTTTGGGGGGACATAAACATTTTTTCTAGAACAGCAAGAAAGCGAAGCACAGGATTCAGAGATGACCCTAAGGTTTTGATCTAAGCAACAGGAAGGATGAAAATTCCAACTGATAAGGGGAAGTTCACCACAGAGTAATTTTAACTGGGGATATCGGAACTTTCTGTTGGCTCTTTTAAGATCAGGAACTTTCTGTTGGCTCTTTTAAGATTGATGCCACTGGGTGAAGGCATCAAGTAGGCAGCTGGACACGCATATCTGGAATTCTGGGGAGGAGTTCAGGATGGAGACATCCAACATATTGTGGCTACTGTATATGTCCGGGTAGGTGAGTTATAGTTGGGAGGGGCAGTCTCTAGGTAATGATGGTAAAACCGTTCCAGACTAGGAAAGGAAAGGTGGTGGCTGAGAACTGGGCCTCTTGCTTGGATATCTGGTTGATGGCATTGAGTTTCACATACTTAATTACGTTAGAGAAGTAAATGTCACAAAGGGAGAAAATGTCAAGGACAGGGTAGACTCAGAACTAATGAAGGGTACCAGTAGAAGAGTGGACATGAGATGGGTACAGAGGCATAGGAGTTGGCACATTAATACTCAGTCCTTGAAGCTAGTATTTACTCCATTCAAAGGACTTCATGGATTTTGTGGCAACCTTGGTGGGTCCTGGGATATTTCATTCAGTATGGAGGATAAGGTTGGGGCAAATCTGTGAGAACCACTAGGACTCAGCTGGGTGGCTAGTGGGGCTGGGCTTTGAATGAGGGTTAAGTCAAAAGAGGAAAGTTCTGACTGCAGAATGCACAGCAAGTGCAGCACAAAAATGGAATGAGGCCATGGGTATCTGAAATCTGCAGGTCATTCTGGGCTGTGAAGGTTGGAGCAAGAAACAGACTTTTTTTTTTTTTTTTTTAATTTATTTGACACAGACACAGCGAGAGAGGGAACACAAGCAGGGGGAGTGGGAGAGGGAGAAGCAGGCTTTCCGATGAGCAGGGAGCCAGCCCGATGTGGGGCTCTATCCCAGGACCCTGGGATCATGACTTGAGCCTAAGGCAGATGCTTAACGACTGAGCCACCCAGGTGCCCCAGCAAGAAACAGACTGACGCAGGAAGCAGGGAAGACTACATAGCAGGCTTCAGAGCTGCCTCTGCCAGGATCATCAGAGGAAGATCAATTGGGTCTTGATTGGATTTACAAGAACCTCTCTGGATACCATGCAGTAGGTAACATGGGGAGACCAAGGGAGATGCCTATGCCTTCCTGCGGGGCAGGAAGTGGCTGTGGCTTCTAAAAAGAAGCAAGGAAGAGCCTCTCTGGGAAACTAAGATATTTAAAGGCAATCCTATATGCTGTAGTTAACACACACAGCATAGGGAATATGCATTCTCAGAAGAGATTTGAGTGATGCCAGAACCTCTAAGCTAGGGAGATTAGTGAAGGTCTTCCCCTGCACAGGCCCAGTTCTTAATGACTGGAAGTGTTGGCTGTTTTTTCAGATGCCCAATTTTGACAAAAGACTGTAGATATACAAAGGAATAAGGAAACGTGGCCCAATCAAAAGAACAAAATAAATTGTCTGGAAACTGGCCCTATAAAAATGTAGGCCTCGGGTGCCTGGGTGACTCAGTTGGTTAAGCAACTGCCTTCGGCTCAGGTCATGATGCTGGAGTCCCAGGATGGAGTCCTGCATCGGGCCCTGCTCAGCAGGGAGTCTGCCTCTCCCTCTGACCTCCTTCCCTCTCATGCTCTCTCTCTACCATTCTCTCTCTCTCAATAAATAAATAAAAATCTTTAAAAAAAAATGTAGGCCTCTGAATTACTTGACAAAATTTTAAAACAACTGTGCTAAAGATGCTCAGTGACTTAAGAGAACACAGACAACGGTATCAGAAAACAATTTATGGACAATGTGAGATTATCAACATATAGAAACTGTAAAAGAGAACCAACCAGAAATTCTAGAGCTGAACAATACAGTTAACTGGAAAATTTACTAGAGGGGTTCAGTAACAGACTTGATCAGGTAGAATAAAGAATCTGTAAACTTGAAGACAGGTCATTTGAAATTGTCAGAGGAGTCACTCTTAAGGGACTTATGAGATACCAGCAGGCTGACCAATATATGCATTATGGCAGGCCCAGAAGGAGAAGAGAGGGACTTTATTTGCCAAACATATCCAACAGAGGACAAGGAGCTAAAATATATAAAGAACATTTATAACTCAATAGTTACAAACAATTAAAAAAAAAAAAAAGGCCAAAAATGTGGACAGTTCCAAAGGAACTTATGGCAAAAAATTACATAAAAAGATGCTGGAAAGAGTCATCAGGAAAATGAAAACTTAAACCCGTAATGACTTAACCACTGTGCACTTTTAAAATCATTAAAATTAAAAACTCTGACCATACCAGGTGTTGTCCAGCATGTAGAGCATTTGGAACTCTCATCCACTGATGGTAGGAACGGAAATTGTACAAGCACTTTGGAAGGCAATTTGGCAGTGTCTTTAAAATTAAACATACAACTTTTATACAACCCAGCCATCCCATTCCTAGGTATTTATCCAACGGAAATAAAAGCATATGTTAATGCAAAGACCTGTGAAAGTGTTTAAAGCAGTTTTATCTTTAATGGTAAAGGGGAAAAACCCGAAGTCCATCAAAAACAGTTGAATGAATAAACAAATTATAGTACCTCCATATAATGGACTACCACTCAGGAATAAATAAGAATTGTCTTAGTTGTAACAAAATACCATAGACTGAGTGGCTTGCAGAACAGAAATTTATTGTTCACAGTTCGGGAAGCTGGGAAGGAAGTCGAGATCAAGGAGCTTACTGCTTTGGTTCCTGGTGAGGACTCTTGGTTTACAGATGGCTTTTTGTGTCTTCACATGATGGAAAGACAGGAAGTACAAGTTCTCTGATGTCCCCCCCCTTTTTAATTGAAGTATAGTTGACATTAATATTAGTTTCAGGTGTACAACATAATGATTTGACTATTACATACATTACAAAAGGGGTGCCTGGGTGGCTCAGTCGGTTAAGAGTCGGCCTTCACCTCAGGTCATGATCTCAAGGTCTTGGGATCGAGCCCCCATCAGGCTCCCTGCTCAGCAGGGAGTCTGCTTGGCTCCCTCTGCCCCTCCCCCTGCTCGTGCTTGCTTTCTCTCTCTCTCTGTCTCAAATAAATAAAATCTTTATACACACACACATTACAAAATGCTCATCATAAGTATACTTTACCATCTATCACTAAACAAAGCTATTACAGTATTATCAGGGATTCTCTGTGCTTTACTTCTCATCCTTGTGACTTGTTTTAGAGCTGGAATTTTGTACCCCTTAATCTCTCTCACCTATTTTGCCCATCTCCCCAGACTCCTCCCCTTTGGCAACCACCAGTTCTCGGTATTTATGAGTCTGCTTCTGTTATTGCTGTTGTTTGATT